GAAACCACCATGCTTCACAGTTGGCTGCAATCTGTTGAGCCAAAACTCTTGTGAGGCATTCTCCAGACCCATATCAATGTAGAAAATTGAGCGAATCTTTATTCGTCTGAGAACAATACGGCCTTCCAAAAGTCCAGAGGCTTGGTCATCATATCACTTGCCCACTTCTTTCGCCTGACTACCTTGGCAGGTCTTAATAAGGGCTTCCGTCTAGCTGCCCTGCAACGATAACCCAATCTGTGGAGAATCCGTTGAACAGATTTCGGGCTCATCCCACCAGCTTTGGCCACTTCTGCAGTCGTTAATCTGGGATTCATTTCGATGCTCCTCTTGACAGCCGATGGACCAGGACGACCCGGCGCTGCTCAGTTGTTTCCTTGCCGTGTTTCCTGAACTGCACGATGATTCTGTTGACTGTCGAAAGCGGGATTCCCCATTTCTGCGAAATTTGCCGCTGACTTATTTCACCATCTGCTTGACCAACTATCCTTCCTCTAACAAAATCTGATAATTCGAGAGAACCTTGAGTTCTAGGCATGATGTAGCACAAGATAATTAGTGTGCGGACCATTTTCATTTATATAGTGCTTTGTGAACACAAATTAGTTAGCATAAATCAGTTAAATGACGAAAAATTAGGTGTCTATTTACTTGTGACCACTCAGTGTACGTACCTTTTTTCTCTCACGAGGCTTATGGTGTAATCACGCTCAGTCGCTGTAGCAGACGATAATATTATTGTGAAAAACTATAAATTATAAGAATAAACAAACACTCAAACCGCCGTTGATAATGTTGATTAGTTATTTCAACGTTTCGGGCCTAAGTCTCTTATCCAGAAGAATAGCTTAGAGAACAAACATAAAATAAATACCCGCTTTTGTTTAAACGTTTATTTATTCTAATCAATTATCTTTTATCTCTCGAATATTTTTTCTATTTTAAAGTTCTTCATTACTTTCAACAACACGATAGTAGTTTACTAACAACGTACCTTATTACTTTGTAATGTAATAAAATCACTGTAAAAAAACAACTTTGAAATAGAAATACATTTATTTTTATCTAGTGAAGTTTCGAGCAACTGTTCTTCTTCAGGTTTAATATGAAAATAAAATGAATATTAGTTATATGTTTTCAAATCTTATGTTCTGGTATGAATGTATGACTCCAAACAAATAATATGTACCTAACAATGGACAAAAATATGAAACAATCTAATAAGAATTGAATAGTATAGTAGATACATTAGTCAAAGGAAAAAATTAAAAATGATAAAAACAATATAACATTTATATGTATGTTTTATAAACGTGTATAAATAGCTCAAACTGACAACGAAAACTATTTCAAGAGAAATTAAAGAAAAACAACGACCTTTTCTCTCCAGATAATAATAAACTTATTATTTCAGCCAACGTTTCGTTCTTACGGCTTCCAGTATCAAGGAAAACTTTTTGTCTGTCTGCCTGTGGACGCATCTCCTTCTAAATGAGTTGATCGATCCAGACCAAACTTGGCATGCTGGCTCAGTAGTCCAAAAGCAAACCAAATTCGTATCAAACTTTCCCATATATTAAAAATTAAAGATATTTTATACAATAACCCCATCCCATATCGTTGCTGCAATAGATATTGTAAATAGTTGAGTTCGAACAAAACTTACACCACAAGAAAGTTCTACAAGTCAAAGATTGTAAATAAAATAATAATAATAATAGCCAAAACATACAGACATAAAATATCCAGCTACAATGCGGAGAATAAAGATATTACTGCTTTTTTCCTGATTCACACCATTTAACTTCAAGGCTATTATCAAATTGCATGCATTAACTGCACCAAGTTTAGACAGTAGAAATCTTGACCACATTCTACTGTGAAATTGGTTGATTTGAACAAGAAGTGACGCAACTGCTTTGCCATTTCTTAACCCGACTGCTACAACTCCTCACTTCCGATCCAATTCCCATGTCTTACAACAATTTTCTTAGAGAATGAACACTACCGAAAATCTTCGCAAAGATTTTGCTCATTTTTAGCAAATTTGTGCATATTTCTGTGTTTTCAAGGGAAAAAAGACGAAGATATTCAAAGTACATTACAAGAGCTTCAAAAAGAAAGCCCATTATGGGCTGAGAGTTCACTTTTACTTGTAGAAGTTCTCCGAATCTGTCGGTCTTTCACCAAAGGCAGAACTAAGTATGCAACTTTCCCCACATTTATTTAATTATTATCTGGAGAGTAAAGGTTGTTTTTTTTTATAAATTTATTACCAAAATGTCCAAATCCCCCCGGTTCTAAGTTCTAAAAAAAAGAAAAATTAAAGAAAAGAAAAGAAAATCGTTCATTCATTCATTCCAAGATATTGTTTGGTACTTTACATAAAAATCAATTTATATTCGTTTCTTTCTCCTTTAGTCCTTTCAGGGTGGTGCATGCTTGAAAACCAATACTGACAAATTAGCGGAGGAATGATTGTTTGAGTTAAAATATCTAGGTACTGGAAAATCAAGGTTTGTATTTTTATATTTGTTCAAGATGTTCATGGAATCGATTAGATAGTCTGCGTGAAGTTTAGCCAGCGTATAGTTTATTGCTCCAGAAGCATATTGTGCAGTAAATGAGACATATTGACTAGTTGACCATAACGATATTCCTTTAAACATTCTGATCATAACCATCCAGAATCCCAAAACATTGTTTTTTTATATGCTTCCTAAGACACTAAAACAAGCAAAAACCCACACAATATCCACATGTAAATCGTAATGGTCATTCGATCTATTTATATTTTAGTGGCCTGCGACAGTTTAGTGAAGCAACGAACTGGTCCCTGGCTTCAAAAAGGTTGAGAAATGCTCATCTAAGATACACAAACCTAATAATTCTAGTCGCTCAGTCGTATCTGCTTACAGCTTTACCACAGAATCAATATTTACTTCCGTGTTTAAACTTTCGAACTTCTTGTCTGCCAACTTCCATCTTTCGTACAAGACAATTCTTAAATTATACTACACTACCACCAGAAAAATCACCATCTCTTCATCGTGGATATACACAAACTTATCCATCATAACGATGGTTTGCTGGTTTTAAAACATTTTATGAACAAGCGATAAATACAGTATCCCATAACAAGTAAACTTGTCTTAAATCATATGCATACCAGTTCATTGGCTAATATTATAAACAAGCAAAAGGGGTTGCTATGGGAATAAAAATGGGGCCTTCATACGTTAACCTTTTTATTGGCTATTTGGAAGAGTTGATGTTTGCATCCTTTAATGTATTTAAAATTGGCTGGTGATATTTTTGGGATTCCTCATAGTGATCCAAGAACTACACAAAAAATTTTCCATTTTGTGTGGAACTTCCAACCAACTACAGATTACACTTGCAACCTCTTAAACAGTAGAGTTTCTTTCCTCGATATCAACACAGTACCTTGCGACAACAAAATATGCACCTCAGTCAACTATAAACCTACAAATAGTCTTCATTTTTATTAAGATATGGTTGCCTTCATGCATGCAAGACAAAGAATGGAATATCTAAAGATTAGTTTCTAAAGCGTAGACGACTTTGCTCCGATAACAGCGCTTTCGAAACATCTTTTAAGGATAAGTTTTCTAACAACGATTAAATAAGCATAATAAAGTGACTAATTTTTTTGGGAAATATGTGGTATGTCCCCCTCCTCAAATAAGTCACTTTGTTATGCTTATAAATGGTTATTTGCCAATTTATTGTTATAATAGCATAATGTGCTTCCTGATTCAAGTATCTGCTAATGAAATGTCTGAGTCCTCTATAGAAATTGGCTATCCTCAAAGTGTTTTGTATAAAGCCAAGTCAGATGCTTTGAATACTTCCCGTAAGGTTTTTCTACATTGCAAACCTAAAACAGTAACTATAGATGGATACCTTTCGTCATGACTCACCACCCATTTAATTTCCACATACATTGCATAATTGCCAAAAAACCCCTCGGTGATTTAGTGAAAAGTTTGAGGATTTATAACGCTAAAAAAATGTGTTTCAATACCTGCGTTTAGCAGAGCACAGCTAGCCCATTGTGTAGCTTCGTGATTAACACCAAATAAACAAAAAGATCACCAAAAAATTTCAGGTTCTCTCAAAGATACTACCACATCAAATGTATATATTTTTCTAATATGCCTCTAACCTGTTCCAGATGTGAACAAAACCTTAAATATTTACTAGTTCACTCAAATAATTAATAAAAACACATCAACACAATTTCTATGTAATAAATGTTGCAAATGAATTATTTTGCAATTCTCCAGATCAAGAACCTAAGTATCAGGACGTAAGTCAATCTTTTACATACAATAAGAATACATCTTAGCATATGTCATTTACTGCATAATCTGTTCCTGACGCAGTAAACTATACATTGGGAAAACTTCACACAAACTAAGGAGGCGATTCTTCAGTAACTTAAAAATAAAAATCTTCTCCTACCAGTACTTAGACATTTTAACTCAAACGACCATTAACTTAATGATGTATAACTTGCCATTAAAATTTTAATAATTACGAAAATAAAGCATCAGCTATGAAAACACCTATAATCAGTAGTTAAATCGAAATTTTGAAAAAGGTGGAACTCCCTTTTATGATCCACTTTGATATTCAAATCAGAAGACCAGGAAGGCTAATGCTTTGAATCCTCAATAGACGGAACGTCATTCCACTCTGGCTTATAATTGCCAGTTTTTAGAAAGATCGTGGCCATTATTGTCTATATTTGAGGTAATAGAATAATTCTGAAATCCCACACTGAAATTTGACTTAAAAAATAATGTCGACTGTGAAAAAAAGTAAATACAAATTGTAAATGGAACTACTCCAAGATATAATCAACACCCATGTAAGTTACAATTCAGAACTATTGACAGGTGCTCGTTGAAACAATTCAACTGTAATTCCAGACTGAAATTTGACTTAAAAAATAATGTCGACTGTGAAAAAAGTAAATAAAAATTGTAAATGGAACTACTCCAAGATATAATCAACACCCATGTAAGTTACAATTCAAAACTATTGACAGGTGCTCGTTGAAACAATTCAACTGTAATTTTCCTAAAAATAGTGATAAATAAATATAAAATCTACAGTCAACCCAATGCTTTGGATCAGAGCGTATATGAAATATGATTGTCTAGTGGGCCATTTACAACCGTCTTTTGCCATTCCATGTGTTATTTCAATAACTAAAATTGCATAGCGTTTGTTTTTAAGCAAAGGAGACTGACTGCAATGCAATGTTGGCAAAAATCTTCGGTTTGTGATGCAATGGGTGTGTGTATCCAGCACATTATGGTCACAGGTTCGCTAAATAGCCGTGGTGATTTTTTCGCTGGATGCCACCATTCCTAGTCATTTTACTAAGTGCAAGAAAATACCGCTACTGAAGTGAACACTTTTAGATAGTTGTCACTTCTATAAGAAGTGTCAAAGGGGCGATATTCAATTCAATTCAAATCATTTTATTCGACATGGTGCAAAAAAAATCATGACTGTATATAATATCGACATGAAAAATATTTATACGTATATAAACCGAACAATAGCAAATATATACTCAAACACGTTCCTATCCTTATGCGTTATATCCGTTCATGCTACTGTCTTCGAAATATTCCTTTCAATCAGTCGACCACAAAAAAGAAATATTTTCGTTTTTAATAACCTTTATCTCAGATTGGCATTCAGCACATAAGAAGACTAGCGGATCTATCTGAAATTTGAGGAATTACAAAAAATAATAATTTTTCTGTAATGTACTCTTTAAAATAAGAATTTCGATATATATATATATTTCTACGATTAAATATTCAAGAGATACAGAGCGTGACAGACAGACAGTTATTAGGTTTCTAGAGTTCTTTATTTACTTTATCTTACTAGTAATACCAATCAAATATAATTTCTAGTATTTATGTTTCACATTTCTTGTTTCTTAAATTAGGTTTTCCCATCATTATCGTGACTGCTTGGGCTATAACCATGAACTTTTACGTAGATTCATCATGTTGGCAAGGTTATGGTGACTACCCCTATGTGTGGATAATTACAACTCCAATGTTGCTGACTCTTAGTGTAGGTACTACATTATGTTTCTTTCGAACAAATTATGTGACTTCGAAGATAACTTATCCTGTGAAAGCGAGGTTTATCAATCATCTCCATCACATTGAACATGCTCGCCATTTCAGTCGTGTGGGAATTATAATGTGACGATCAATCCCACTATTCGTTTATAAAAGATTAGCCCAAGAGCTGGAGGTCGGTGGTGTTCACTAGCTACCTTCCCTCTAAATTAGGGACAACTAGCGCAGATAGCCCTCTTATAACTTTACGCGATGTTCCAAACCAAACCAAATTTTCAATCATAATGCGAAAATTAAATATAAAATGAAAACTAGAGGTCCTAGAAAAGGCTAATGGCAGTTGTCATACGTGATACACCATATTTGTTGGCTGAATAACGTTAGACGAACAGGAAGAGTTATATGATACAGACATAATAAATACGTTCACATAATAATTTTATAAATATTAAAGGTAAAGGATATAAAAGAAAATAATTAGGCTAGAAGGGAACCGAAAGTTTCGACACCCATCTATTATTATCGCACCTTCTAATATTTTAATAGCTGTATTCTGTCGGATGCTTCTGATCGTCTGATTTCATTGTTTTGTCCAGCACTTCTGATCGTTTAATACCTGTATATTTTTAGTGCTTCTGCCCGCTTAATAACAGCATTTTATCTATTGCTTCCGATCGTTTAATACCATTGTTTGTATAGTATTTCTGATCGTTTAATTACTAATGTTTTATTTAGTGCTCCTGCCAGTTTTATTATCAGTATTTCGTCTGGTGCTTCTGATAATTTAATACCAGTGTTTTATCTAGTGTTTCTGATCGTTTAATACGAGTATTATTGTCTAGTGCTTTTGATTGTTTAATACTATTACCTTGTCTAGTGTTTCTGAATGTTGAGTTGAAAGTACCTACTAACACAGGTTGTGCATTGGTTCGTTTTGTTAAGCAAAGAATGCACAATGGGTTAACTGTGCTGTGCCCACAACAGAAATCAAACACCGAAATTGAGCATAATAAGCCCTCAAGTTTACCGCTGAGTCTTAATGAAACTTTTAAAATAATATGAAACTAACTTGAAAACTGATTTTCTATCCAATCAATTACGCATATTCAAATAAATACTTAAAAAACAAGATTGTAGTTTCTTTTATTTCTCTTTATCCTGAACATTTTTCACTTATTGTTATTTCCATATTGCTCTGTCTTTTCTTTTTCTATCCTTAGCACTTTTCATCAGTTTTCACCTTATGTTTTTTTTTCTCTCTGTCAATCTCGAAAATTATTCATTCTCTATTTTCCCCTTACTATTTTGTCATTTAAACTTGTTATTAAACTTGTTTTACCCGTACATTTTTACATTATGTGATACATGTGTGAGTAGGTGAATTTCTTCTTCCTGGTGAACGTCATTCGAATCCTGGTCACCAAACTCCACTCTCGAGAAGTTACACATATCGGGTCAGTATATGTTTAATTGTATAGTGTATAGTTTTCTTTAGATCACCTGGATTGCCTTTAATTTTTACCCTGTCTTTTAGCTAACTAATACAGATTTGAACACCAACTTAAATTGTTGTTAATATTGCGCTTAACGCTAGTTTTGGCCAGTTTTATTGCAGAGTAATTTATAAAGATACAAAAATTTCGTCCATATATATATACACACACACACACACATATATATATATATCCAATAAATAAACACTAAGTTTTTATGATAAATAATAGCTTGGAATTAAAATTTAGGCTGATAGTAGTAAATAATACATTTTTAATATAAACTAAAATTTACTTGAAGCTCCTCCACAATTTATAAATCTGATTTTCAAATCATAAAACTAGGACACACTAAAGTTTCAGATCTTAAATTGCTTTTGAAAAATTATAATTAATGAATTGCGCAAATAATAAATATTATCAAGTGAAAAGGAGTTCTTCTTACATTACAGCTGCTACAGATACCTTTTTTGACGAATTAATTTTTTCCAGCAACTTCTTGGTGGCTAATAATTCTGAGTAATTTCCATTAATGTTCACTATTGAATTTTTTTATAACTTTAAAATCGAACATCAGCTGTGAACCTGCACCTGTCTCTCTTTGTTTTGGCTGGTGCCCAGTGACTATATAAGAGTGACACCTGCTGCGACCTGCCATATAACCAACATCAAGGCTATAATGAGTTATTACAAGCTGTGTGGTAACTTCCCTATTCACGGTTGTCAATTGCTTACAATACTGAATGCAAGTATTTAAAAACTACAAATTACTAGCAAAAATAAAACAGAGGCATTCCAAAAGGATCTGTTGGGATACCAGAACAACATTCTAAAACATTCTTACTGTCTTGGCCAAAGCGGGACAACTAGTCACCTTAATTATTACGCTATGTTCAGGATTAAAGAGTTCTTATTACGAATATCTTTTTTTAAACTTTAACAAAAGTGTCTGTAAGAACTTTCAAAAATTCAATTATAGTATATAAACTCTTAACTACTACGACAGAATGTTTAATTGTTTCTAGATGTTTGGTGTGACATACAAACATTCGTTATTATTATGTGCAAATGAATGTACTAACGTATTATCATTAAACTTGTACATTCTTTTAAAATTTAAATATGTATCTCACATAAAGTAAAGTTTTCTACTATTTTAATTTTATTTTTCAATAAATAAAAAGCTGAATTACTAGCTTACAAAGTTGTAAAGTTATTTACAGTAGATGTCTCTGATACCAAAAAAGCATTGTTTTCTTACAACCATATTCAGCATATTTTTAAATGTTTCAAAGCTGCAATGTAAGTAAAGTTAATAAAAACAACTTACAGTTTGATGTGTAAACGACAGACCAATTTTGTAGGTTTAAAGCCGGCCTCAATCTCGCAATCAGCAGATGTTCTGTTATTTGAAACTGCAGTACAATCAAGATTTCTAATTAATATACTAGAATCATCAAAGGTACAAGTTTTGTACTCCTTGGAACATCTAGAACATTTAAATAAGCTTTCGATAAGAAAAAGTTTGTTGACTGTGAAACTGATACTAGCTTTAAAATCAACAAGGGTTGTCTTATCATTTTTAAAGATTACATTGTTAGTTTTTACATAAAATGTTTTATAAAATACGCTTACGTGTAGATATTTATTAAACAATAAATATTGTCTTAAGATTATTCCAGACCTAAACTAAACATCCTATATACACCAAACTGTAAGTTGTTTATACAATTGTTTTGATTTCAATATTTCCTCTACTGTGGTCAGAGATAATTTTGATTTGATTTTCTGAATTAATAATTAATGGGGTTTATATTTAAGAAAGCGATAAGTAAAAGGGAAATTTTGCTTTGTATAATCATGGAAAGTATGTTTTTGTAAACATGTTAGTGTCTACTAGTATCTTTAATGCTGTCCGCTGTCTCAGTGTTTTGTTTTGGTTTTGTCTGTACAACTGTTACGAGACCACGTTTGAGGCTCTAACTATGTCTAACACTAGCTTTGAACACTGTGAGAATGTATTTTGATTTCACACGTTTTTTAACACTACACCTTTAATAAACAGCTGACATAAAGAAAGGAGAGTAAGTTCTGAGTATTTCTTTTTTCCACAAAAGTGACTCCTTCAGACGAGTCAATTCATTAAGATACTTAACTCTTTCTAACTATTTTGAATGTCAATGTATTAATATTCTACGGGCTAGAAAACAAACAATATATTTATAGGGTAATCTTATTATCAGCTGCATTTAGTGAATATACAATGCTCCTAAAATTTAATATATGTTTATATATGTTATACATGAACAACTTGTGAAATGCCTCTCAAGATAATGTATCATTTCACTAATTAGCTAAAAACCTTATTGTTAAGCTAATGGCAGATGTCAAGATTTCAGTTAAATATTTTCAATCTTATGTCGTTCTTTTCCTCAATGCAAATAAAGTCGTGTGATTATAAAACAATCAACCACTGGCAATTTTTTCAAACGAACTTTCTGCAAGTGTGATAACTTTTTGTTAAAGCTTTAGGAAGAATTATCTAACTCATGAATTCTAGAAAAAAATAGAAAACTAACTAAATCTTAGATATTACAGTCACCTACATAATAATCTGTGCAATTCAAAACTCATTACAAAATATTTTTACCCCAACTGACTGTAGCAGCAAATGGTTACTGAAATTGTGCTTGGTTTAATTAACTCTAAAAGTAGTGTGAATATTTGTGTCCCCGTCCAACACGTAGGAATAGGTTTGAGAGAATTACAATATCAATAAGTATCCTGTGAAAGTTGCTTGGGTATTTAATTGAAAGTTTATTAGACTATATTTAAAAACATTTAGCTTCTACATTCTACTTATAACATTTTTCCATGACAATGTTGTTTTTAGCGCAAAGTACACAACGTGCTCTGTCCACCGTGCCACTGGGGTGGCTCAAAAGAGTTTGCTCAAAACTCTAATAGAACATTCGAGCAAAAAGCACTTTATAAAGAATATTTAGTCTTGAAATAACATTAAAAACCTTCCTTTTCAATAGTTAAGACCACCCAAACGTTGATAATATGCAGTAATACATTGAACCAAAGTTAATTTTAAGAACGAGTTGTTGATAGTTTTTAAAGTAGTTTCGCACAAATCTGTTCCCATCGGTTTTTCAAAGCAGGTTACTTACTTCGATATGATTAATTGCTTAACTGCTTTATAATCAAAATATTTACTAACAGAGAAATATAACTATTGTTATCCAGACGAGCTGTCAAGGCGACTGCTTTGCTTTTCCCTTTATTGGGCGTTTCCCACTTGCTGTTCTGTGTGAATCCACATGATGATGCTGGAATAGAAGAGGCCTACATGATCTTCAACGCCATTCTTCAGTCCTCACAGGTGTGTGGCATTAATCAGTTCTCCAATGAGAATATTCGTAAACCAGTAATGTGTGTGGTTGAACAAAATTACAAAAAAGTTTCTTAAAGGTTAAAAAAAAGTTAACGCTAATAAATTGAATTTTATAAGACGAATACTACCCTGGTAATTGTATTTGGTAATACTAGTATACATATTAGCATATATCTCTCTCCCCCTAAAACAAAGTTCAGATATTGTAAATCATTTACTTCTTGAATTCCAAATCAATTGACGCGAATTTAAATCACAGTAAATGTTAAGAATTTGTGCTTTACCGATATCTGTAATATTAAGCTATTTGGAGATTGTGACTGAAGGTCTTCATCAGGTTTAGTTGCACACAATTTCCAACAGGTGGAAAACTAGTTAAACGTATTGCAATTGGATTTTAATCCTTCATATAAGTCTTGTTTTCAATTAAATGCTCATTAATGTTTATTTCCTTTTCCCAGGGCTTGTTTGTGTCTATCTTCCACTGTTTTATGAACACAGAGGTAAGTATAACATGTTAAAACTTTTGTTTTTTAATACTCTTTACTTAATTTTTAACCTACTTTATCCATGCGTATTTATTTATAGGTAGCAAATTGTTCAGAAAATTATGTAACGTTGCTGTAGTCGTTTCGCAACCAGTAAAGCTTATTATCTTATTAAACGCATGCATATATTCATTCTGATGATACGGATTTGGTACTTGTTAAAATTTTTTGAAGACGAATACCAAGGTTATAAGCAACTGGTTTAAAGTTAGAACATGTTTGTTTCTCTAATATGATAGTAAGGCATAAGCTAGGAAATGGGTCTATAACTGTAAATTTCAAATTTTAATAATACCTTTGACGTTTCAGTTTTAGTTCTTGTTCTCTTCACTTATTAGCCGCATGATGTTATTATAATATATAATTTATTCTACTATTTATTCAGGCAATGCGCGCCCAATTCAAACAGTGTGAATATTTTTATTTTGTCACTAATATAAGTAAATGTATTAAATTGATTATAACTAGGTACAAAAAGTCCTGAGGAATGCTTATCTTCGAGCTATTGCTCGCCGCAGTGCCAATTCTGGTTCAAGAAATCAAAACCTCTCTCATACTTACTCTTTCTACGGCGACGTTTCTGCCTCCTGTAGCCACCGCCACAAGAGGGCTTCTCCAAAGAATGCTAACATTCGCATGTTAGAAGTAACTGACGGCAAGATTTCTGATGTTACATGTACTCAGGTGTAGGAAACAAGACTGGTTCTTTGCATCAAATAAATAGAAAACATTTGATTATTGTTAATTATAAAAACATCTCATAAAGTAATGGTCATTGTTCTAAACCAAAATCATGTACAGTTAGCACATGTGGTAAAACGATGCGAACATGAAAAATAACTTTCTAGCCTCTAGTAACCACCAAGAGATCCTTCGTACACAATAATCGGTCCAACAAATCAGGAGCGCAAGCTTCATTATTGCTTTCTTAAAACATCTTATTGATTTCAAATACCTATTTAACCAAAAACAAAACAAGCAAATCTTATTTCTGCTTTATATGTTTTCGACGATATGAGGAAGTAGCGTTGCTTTATTGTCAATATAATAATTTTCATGAAAATATTTTTTGTGGGTGAGAGAGACAATATTCCGATAGAATGAGTTATTGGAAAAAAAAACAATGTCATTTAAGTTAAAATAACGCAGATAAGTATTTTTATCATTGCAAAAGTTGGGTAGAAGTCTACGTCGTTGTCTCTTGACTTTAGATACCATACCTTGTTAATGTGTAATATCTGTATATGAGCTTTTCATATAGTTCAGAGATGACACACCTTTCTATGACGATGACCACATTTGGACTTCTATTTAGCTTCCTTTTGTTTTTGATCTAGAAACATTCCTGTGAGATATTTATCAAATGCACAGAGTATGAACATATACTTTACATAAGTATACACATATACTTCATACATATGTATGAACATATACTTTACATAAGTATACACATATACTTCATACATATGTATGAACATATACTTTAATCTGATGTGATGTTTGTTGTTCCAACTCTCATTCCAGAATGTGAGTATATGATGCGTATTTTAAAATTACTCATAATTAAAGTTTGATATGTGCACAAATTAAACAAAAAAAATAAATGTTTTAAAGTATTTATACTTGTGTTAATATGTTGGTAAACTGCGAAAAACAAAATTTATTGTAGTTTAATAACAAATAAATAACCGAGGACTGTAAGGATGTTGTTTGAATAAAATATTGTTTTTATGTAGTGTTACAAAGCCAAGAAGATTTTTTTTTAAAAAAAGGTAACGTTATAGATGGTGGCAGCAAAATATTGCTGAAATAGGCCACAGTATATACGTTTCCAAAAAAAGTTGTTCAAAAAATGTAACAGTATAGAGGATACTAATAAGAGATTGCCTCAAAAGGCTTAGTATAGATGGCGCCAACATGAGATTTTCCAAAAATACCACAGTATAGATGGTGCCAACAAGAGATTGCTCAAAAAGGTTGTAGTATGTATGGTTGTTTTAAGTAGTGTTTAACATCTACCATAGTCAAAAGTTTTAGACATATATGTATATTTTTAAATATAGAAATATGTAAATCCTAAGGACAAATGATGACTGTAGCTTTATCTTCATCAAGAACAAACAAAATGTTTTTGTTTTGGCGATTATAAAATTGAAGGTGTGTGTTACGTTTCGTATCTTATAGTGTCGTTTTATGTGTAAGTTTGCAGATTTAAATTGCTACTCTGGCGTTTCTGTTCATTTGGATTAATGAAATATTAATAAACTGATTCAATAGTGTGCTTATAAAACTCACAAATGTTTTCCTTGTAGATTGTGCTCTTTTTTTTCTCTTTTCACATATGAACTAAAACTAGAGAGTATTTTCTAATACTGTTGGGCAAAATTTCATTAACCATCTTTAAATGAAACTGTTCTGAAAGTGCCCAAGTTTAATCTGCTACTATATCATGAAGACTTCTTACACCGTTTGAAACTGGAATTTGTGTTGAACACTAATTTGAATTTACCATCTTAAAGCACATTCTAGTACTATCGTTTAAAACTACCATTTAATTTTTTTATGTGAACCCACCACTTGAAACTATACTTAAAATTAACGTTTGAAATTATATTTTGAAACTATGAGTTGAAATAATTGTTTGCAGACAAAGTGGCTTGTACTGTGCGGTGTTGTTTTTTAGCTTTGTTTTCCATGAAAAAACTTCAGGATTAGGGTTTAACATTAAAGATTGTACACGTGTAAAGTAACAGAAGTCGAGAGGTTTAGAGAAACCTGGAACCTTGGACGTAAATATTTTGTAACGCACTACTGCATTTAGTGATCATTTAGTAAGATTCCACACATAATATCAAGTTCGAATATGTTTTGTTTAGCTGTAAACAGGAAATTGGGCTCGACACGATACAGGCTCTATAGAAAGCCAAACAAAAAGTGTTGTGTTTGATTATCGAGAGTGTCTATTCATCGAGACTATGGTTTACAGTTGATTCACAAATGATTAAGGAGGCAAATGCTATGTTAAAATTTAACAACGACAAAATGCTCAACTTGTGCTTATCAAAGAAAATGATTAAAGTCACTGGCAATCTCTTTGGACCAATTTCTGACACTACAGTTGCGGTACAGTGTTTCGTTATCTTTGTTGAAAATGCTTCAGTTAAACTCCGGATTCTGCTTGCTCCTCTAAAGCAATCAAAGAACACAGTCCTTTTATAAGAATGTTACCCACAGCATTACTTCACTTGCATTGTCAAAACAACGCAAGCAGTGTCAAATGTCTCGTATATACTTTTCTCCATATTTATACTCGACAATCAGAACAAAAAATATAAAACGCCTCTCATCAGACCACATCACACGCCAGATTTTCGGGTTGGTTGTTAACTGTCACATGACAGATTTTGTAATGTCCTTCACCACGTATGGATAAAAATAGCCGCTTTTGATTATTGTTCAAAGAATCACTAAATGTTACACAGTCTGATGTCTGTTGCACTTTACAAAACTTTCCAGTTATATTTTCCATTGATCTGCCACTAGTAGTTGCTGGACACTGATTTTTTTTTGCGACACTCTTGTTTCCTATTATATACGTCTTTAAACAGGCAGTCAAGAAACGGTATTTGATATATTTTTCTTTGTTAATTTGCATCAAAATCCGGTTTCTAGTGTTGTAAGTCCGCAGACATACCACTGTGCCACTGGGGGCTGGGGGTTGGGGGGGCTTGAGATATATTTACTATCACCCATTGTCTTGAAGGTATCAATGATGTGATTATATCTCTTCGTCATCAATCACCTCATACGTTATATGTGGGAGGAAAATATTTGATAAAGTAGCTACATTTTTTATAAGTATATATATGTGTGTGTGTGTGTGTGTGTTTTGTTTTATTTTGGATACTCCAAGTTGGAAAGGTGTGTTTTGAATGAATATATTATGCATATTCCTGCACGTTCATTCCGTTTTATTTATTTATCTGAAAATGAAAGCTTAATAGGAAATACAGTAAGATAATTGACACATTAAGACGTCTTATGCAAACTGATAAGATCCTGCCAACCTGTTTGCAGAAAGTCAACATTGGGATTTAGGGAAATTCCAGTAACGCTATAGGTCATTTATCTAATGTTTACTGCAGACTGAAACTTAACTATTGAATAAAATGGTCTTCGACTCGTGCATGAAATGTACTTATACAAATCTTAATGGATTTATATTGCGTGTACTGTATGGTTCTTGCTCTTAACTGTCTTTTATTCTCAGCTTCATTAAAAGAGTCGTCATATTATTTGCCAGAGTAAATAATGATCGCAAATAACTTTACAACATTACATACAATATATATATATATAACACGAAGACGAATATGCATAAACTACTTGTTTAAAGTTACAGCAGCAACAAGTGTTCTTTATTAAGCCTTCACCAGTAGGCAGTTAACATACATTAGTTGCATAAACTACTTGTTTAAAGTTACAGCAGCGACAAGTGTTCTTTATCAAGCCTTCACCAGTAGGCAGTTAACATACATTAGTTGCATAAACTACTTGTTTAAAGTTACAGCAGCGACAAGGGTTCTTTATCAAGCCTTCACCAGTAGGCAGTTAACATACATTAGTTTATTACGATATGTTTTCACGTGCTAATAGGAGTTGCTAATTTCTTTGTCCAATAATTAAGAAAACCACAAACAAACAATAGAACAACGAAGTTAAATCGTCTCTAAGAGTTTGATTCATTTCTAGTTAATGGGGTCTTACTACACAATTTTCAAGAAAGTGTCTGTTCTTAAATTTCTCCCTTTCAAAATCGTGGCTCAATAAAAATGTTACTGTCAAGATAAAAATTCAGCAAGTAAATTTGTTTATTTTTCTTATTTATAAGCTCTTATCTGGTTGGTTTTTTATTACGATAATGGTGAGCCTACTGTAGTTATAAATACATAAACTTATGGTTGAAATCTAAGACTGAATAAAAAAATATAACAAATGTATGCACGAATGAAATGACTCACGAAACCTCTTACACGTTTTGGTTATTAACCTTAACTAACAGTTTTATACTTTATATTGTCTAATGTTTCAGCAACTTTTAATGTTATTAATCCAGACTTTTAACCGTTTGATATAATAACGGTTAACAAGTTTACAAATCTTAGTGTGAATGGAAATGTTAATAATTATCAAACTTCACGTGAATTAAAAAAAAAAGATTAAAAACAAGAGTAATGATTTCACTGAAGAATTTGAATTTAAAATATATTAATCGTTGCATAAAATGTTTAAAAAGTCATAAAACTATAGGATTTTAAAAGGGTTTAACGAGAAAAAAAACAATCTGTTCGACAAGGTTAATTACGGCATATATTAACTTCTTGACCATGTTCTTTCACATGTTATCGAATAGATAATATTTGTGGTTTTGCAACTTTTTATGTAAATAATAGTTACTTTCTCAGCCGCTCTTCTTGGCTGAAAAGGATTTTATCCGCAAGTTCATTGCAAAAGAGCACTCAACAACTGTACGCAAACTCTCATTTTTAAGAGTTGTTCTTATTTTCACTATCCTCCGTTTGTGCAAGTACATAAACTTATGATTCAATAGAGTCAAACTTCTGCATCTGACAGATTTCTAACGACCTTGGTGTGACAGGTGATTTAACCCGATATATTAAAATCTGCATCAAAATCTAAACAAATTAATTGCGTAAAAAACTTATCGACACAACAAGTAGGAAGCAATAGCAAATTTGATGCATGCAATTCATTCTAACAAGTTTCGTTTTTCTGCTCTTTTCCAGTCGTAATATAATATTAAACTTACAAACCAGGTACATTAAGATCTGCAACTTTGAGGTGAGAATAAGTGAACAGCTTAAATGTTGCGCCTCATGAAATAAAAGGGTTTCAAGTCATAGTATTGGGTTTTAATATATCATTTATTACAATATTAATAACATTGATAATTGGGAAAATGTGAACAACCCAGGATTATTTGTATTTCAAACACGGTTTACAGACAGCAACGAAACCGATACAAAGCTCACTTAGTCACAGGTTGACAATTAAAACACAGAGAAAACTTTAGATAATTTCCGTTATGACAATCTTTGTTGTTTTTTTTATGTTCTTCATTATGATTACACAGGCCTGCGATGCTTTTATTGTCTTGAAATGTTTACATGTTCAACAGTAATTCGTGTACGCTGAATCCGAAAATGATATCCATTTTTCTCCATCGCGTACAGATTTTTCACAAAACGTCATAACGCAATACATAAACGAAAGACCACAACATGCAGTTTTGAGACTAAGACAAGTAGAATTCACAAAAAACAGTCAGGATGAATGAGGATGTATATTCGTTTGATTTCAATGTTCTTCCCTTTGCTTCAGTTTG